TGAACCTTTACACCGAAAGACGTCCTCACACAGAAAACACTGATTTGTGTTTCGGAAAGAAGATGGTAGTTGCTTTGTCTTTCCCATATGTAGCAAAACATACAGATTAGCACTGTCCTGTAGACTTTCTATGATGGAGCCAGTCCTTCATTGTCTGGTGTACAGTAGCCTCTGGCATCATGTAGCTATAAGGATTTAAAATGTGGCTGGTGTGACTAACTGAATTATAGCTTTTACTTAAAAAACTTAATTCTTTTAAATAGTGGCATGTGACTAGTAGCTACATATGGAACTTCAGGTATAGATAATAAATAAATAAATTCAAAAGTTAGTTATAGATTTTGAAATTTATAACTTTTTATATTTTGGTGACATATATATATAACTTTTTTTTTTTAAGATTTATTTATGCATACAGAACTGGGTACAGGCTGAGATGCAAGGGTGAAGAGAGGATTCACCAGAGACAAGTGGGGGGCAGAATAAGCAGAATGACAAAGTACATTGCCGAGGGGAGCAATGAGTGAAATAGGAGAGGTCTGCTGGGCCATGTGGGTCACCTCCCTGGCCCGGGAATAGCTGCCACTAGCTTTGTAGTGTTGTGCTTTAACCTGTTGTACCACCAGGGAGGACCATATTATTTATATTTTTATTATACTTAGACTGATTATATTTCCCAAGCATTTAGCAACTTTCAATGATAACTTCACCATAAACCAAATGAAACAGTATGCTTTCTACAAACCATTGTTTAAAAACATTTTTGAAAAGATGCCTCTGGGCCCTCCCTGGTGGCGCAGCAGGTCGAAGCACAGCATTCACTAAGAAGCTAAGGCCCCTTCAGCATGAGTTCCATCCCCATCTGCCCCAGAGGTGGCCCACACGGCACAGCAGACCTCTCCTGACCCACCCTGCTCCCCTCAGCAGTGTACTCCATCGGTCAGCTTGTTCTACTCCCCACTTTGTCTCAGGTGAAGCTTCTCACTGCTCCTTCACCTCTGGCTTGTATGCATAAATAAATAAATCGTTTAAAAAAAAAAAAAAGATGCCTCTGTCCTTGAAATGTTTCATGCATTTAAGAGGTATTGCCACACCTCAGGAAAGAAACTGTGGTTGATGCAAAGAATGGCCTCTGTGTTCATTATCCATCAACTATTGATTTGAACACATACCCTGAAGCCTGGACATTTTAAGTCTACTAAAGAACAAACTTTTTTTTTTTTTAATGAGTTTATTTTTACATATTTTTGTGCATTTTTCCATCTCCGTTGCAATCCCCTGGGGTTTCCCATCACCAAATTACCCAAGTGCCATCACCATAGTCCAGTGAATTTCCCTCCCCCCACTGTTTTTGATCCCATTTCCCACTCCACCCCCACAAAATGTCTCTGGTATATGGCTGTGCATATTATCACTAGTTTCTCACCTGTTCCGTTATACTCCTGCTATGAGAGAAACCATCCAGTATTTTTCCTTTTCTTTCTGGCTTATTTCACTAAGCATGATCTGTTCCAGCTCCATCCATGTTGCTGCAAAAGACATGTGTTTCTTTTTTTTTTTTTTTGGTTGCTGAGTAGTAATATTTCATTGTGTAAATGTGCCACATCTTTTTAACCCAGTCATCCATCTTTGGGCATTTGGGCTGTTTCCATGTCTTTCCAATTGTAAATAAAGCAGCAATAAACATGGGGGTGCAGGTATCTTTTTGAATCAGTGTTTTTGTGTCTTTTGGGTAGATACATAGGAGTGGGATTGCTGGGTTGTAGGGAAGCTCCATGTTTAGCAGTTTGAGGAACCTCCAAACAGTTTTCCATAGTGGTTGTACTAGTTTGTATTCCCACCAGCAGTGCAGGAGAGTTCCTTTTTCTCCACATTGCCAACATTTGTTATTGCTAGTTGTTTGAAGATGTGCCATTCTCACTGAGGTGAGGTGGAATCTCATTGTGGTTTTAATTTGCATCTCCCTTATTACAAGTGATGTTGAATATTTTTTTCATATGTTTGTTGGTCATCAACATTTCCTCTTTGGAGAAGTGTCTTTTTAGCTCTTCTGCACATTTTTTGATGGGGTTGTTTATTTTTGTTGAGTTTCATCAGTTCTCCGTATATTTTTGTGATCAGTTCTTTATCTCTAGTTTTGTGTGAGAAAATTTTTTCCCAATCAGTGGGATGTCTGTTTTTTGTAATGTCTCTTTTGCTAAACAGAAGCTCTTTAACTTAGTGTAGTCTTACCTATTTATCCTTGCCTTCACTATCGTTGCATTGGGTGCTCTATCTTTAAAGACGTCGCTGAAGTGTATGTCGTGTAGTGTTTGGTCCATCTTTGCTTCCAGGTATTTTTTATGGTTTCCTTTCTTATGTCTAGGTCTTCAATCCACTTCAAGTTGATTTTTGTGTATGGTGAGAGGTAGTTATCTAGTTTCTTTCTTTTTTCTTTTTTTTTTGCATGTAGCTTCTCAGTTTTCCCAGCACCATTTGCTGAACAAACTTTCTTTGTTCCATTGTATCTTCTTTGCTCCTTTGTCAAAGATTACCTGTCCATAAACCTGTGGGTTTATATCTGTGTTTTCTATACGAATCCACTGGTCTGTATGTCTAGAACAGACTTTTTTTTTTTTTTTTCGCAAGTATTTATTTGTTTATGCATACAGAACAAGCCAGAGGTGCAGGGGCTATAAAAGGCTTCACCAGAGACAGAGTGGAGAGCAGAACAGGCAGATGGATATGATGAAGTACACTGCTGAGGGGAGCAGCGGGCAGGTCAGGAGAGGTCTGCTGTGCCATGTGGATCACCTCCGGGGTAGGCGGAGATCAAACTCATGCGGAAGTGGCTTTACCTTCTTAGTGCTGTGCTTTAACCTGCTGCACCACCAGGGCGGGCCCAGGACGGACTCTTTAAAAAAGACTTATTTTTATTTATTTATGCACATAAGAGCTGGGGTGTAGGCCAGAGGTGCAGGGGATGGGGTGAGAGGATTCACCAGAATTATAGAGAGGGGAGCAGAACCGTCAGATCTTTTGAAATACACTGCTGAGGGAAGCAAAGGTGAGACAGGAGAGGTCTGCTGCGCCATGTGAGTCAGTCAGCTCCTTGGCGGGAGATCCAGGAACTCAAGATACAGTGACTGGTGAAAGCTTGATAGGAATGAGACTTTAACCCCTGCACCACCAGGAAGGACCCATAAAGAACAGATTTTTTGAGAACATACAGAATGCTAGGTCTTTGGTGAGGTTTTCTATTTGATTTTCTAATTTAATCCTCACAGTTTAGCATCCTCCTAAGGGAAGTAGTAGTTTTGCTTGTGAACAGATGAAGTGACTATACACAAAATGGTGACTTTCCCAAGGCCTCCCAGTAAGTAAATGGTGAAGCAAGTTTATTTGACTCCACATCTGCTTTTTCCACTATCTTGTCCGTCCCTTGAACAGCAAATGCTAAACTGCAGAATTCAGAGCTCGCTGTAAAGGTTTGTCCATGATATCCTACTTCTAAAGTTCTCCCAGTGAGAGAACTTTCGGTGTAACCTTAACATATTCTTCAACTCCTCATCGACCCCGACACCAGTAGTTCCCCACACCAAGTAGGCAGATACTCCTGAAATGTTTTTGATGTGCAGTATGCTACATCTCTACATGGTGAAAGCGCCCACAGTGATAAAGCCTATGGTGGGTGGAAGTTGGCGTTCCTTCCTTCAGTGTGTGGTCCTGTTCCTTCACCTGGGTGTTTAGGTGGCCCAAGGTTTTGGAGAAGGGAAATATACCACAAGAGGCACGAGACTAGACTGTTCGGGTGGAAGAGCCGAGTACTGAAATTGCAGGTGGTGAGAGGCTGTTTCCTTGTTCTAAGGCAGCAGTAATTCTTAGGCTTTCCCAGATGATATTTTGGTCACAATGCATTAAAACACTCCAGGATATGAATGAAAACTCCATAAAATTTCTGCTTCCTGTACCACTGCAGGCTGCACCAGCTCTGAGATGCTTGCAGCAATGGGGTGTGTATTAATGAGACACTAAAATATGCCCTAGTAGGTTCTGATGAGCTTTCAGCATAGCCTTTTCAACCCTGTTTCTGATTCCTTAATATATAAAAATGGAATTTATTTTTAGTCCTTCCTCTTCCCACTGGGCTCAGGCAGGGTCAAAATATAGCAATAAAAATAATTTTGCTTCTCATTTACTGAGTGTTCTCTCCTTGAAACACAATAGTTTCCTTTCTATTCTCTGGTGTGCTCTTATCTTCCAGACACAATTTGAGCCATCTTTTACCCTGCTCACATTAAATAAGAATGTTTTCCACTTAGCCAGCTTTCTGTGCAAGGCATATTTTATAGTGTCCTTATACCTTATGACTTACTGCATTCAATACCTAGAAGAGGACTTTATGACTACCAGATTGTTATTATTTTTATCACCCAAAGCCTTCATTAAGCATACATTAAGGAAAACATTGAAGAAAGAAAACTATATAGATTTGGATTCAGTAATCTGGTGCCTCATAATCTAAGAACTCTCTGACCCTTCCACCCCAACACACACATATTCAAAAAGTGTGTTTTTTAAATGCAGTAGTATAACTTGTGTAAGTGACAAGACTGAATTGGACACGGAAGAGGAAAAACTAATGGGCACGATAGGTAGAAGTGCTTCCTGATTAAAAAGTTTCAAAAACACCATTAAAGAAGACAGTGGGAACAAGATTAACAATCCCAGAACTTTTTTCCCCAGTTAGTCTCAGTTCTATGTCTGACTCGATATAATTTTGGGAGCTCTTTTCCTGGGTATCGGTGGCCAGTTTCCATTTACTGGAAGACAAGTCTTTTAGAGTGTGTGTGCGTGTGTATGTGTGTGCACTTGCACGTATCAGTTTTCAATTGTCGAACATTTCACAGTACATAGTTGTCACTAGTAAAAAAAAAAAAAAAAAAAAAAAACAAGAGTTGGGCCCTCCCTGGTGGCGCAGTGGGTTAAAGCACAGCACTAAGAAGCTAAGGCCACTTCTGCGTGAGTTCGATCCCCGCCTGCCACGGAGGTGACCACATGGCGTGGCAGACCTCTCCTGACCCGCCCGCTGCTCCCCTCAGCAGTGTGCTTTGTCGATCTGCCTGTTCTGCTCTCCACTCTGGTGAAGCCTCTAGCCGCCCCTGAGCCTCTGGCTTGCACCCCAGTTCTGTGTGCACAAATAAATAAAACTTTAAAAAAAAAAAAAACCAAGAATTAATCCACAGTGGGCAAAAGTTCTCATAATTAACTCATTTAATTTTATTTTCAACCCAGTTGTAATTCACCTGTTTTTTCAAGTAAGTGCATTATAAGAAGACATAGTTCAAATAAGAACTTTTCCCCTGTGCCTTTTCAGAGGCTGAATGAGAACTTCTCTTGTCATTGTAGGTGGGATGGAAGACAACCCGGGAGTACTATACCTTTATGTGGGTCACTGTGCCCTTGGACCTAAACAGCGACTCAGTCAAACAGCAGGAAGTCCAGTTTAAAGGTGAGAAAAATTCTAGGTCAAAGGCTTTGAAGACAGCAACCAATACTAATTCACTTGAACTTGAGCTTTCTATGGCAGGTAAAAGATTTAGATTTTTTTATTTTCTGAATAGACCTTATTTTTGGTTAAAACTCGTGATTGTGTTTTTAGCTTATTACCTGCCCAAGGATGATGAGTATTATCAGTTCTGTTATGTGGATCAGGATGGTGTGGTCCGGGGAGCAAGTATCCCTTTCCAGTTCCGTCCAGAAAATGAGGAGGACATCCTGGTTGTTACCACCCAGGTCAGTAAACATCTCACCTTAATCACTTTTGGCTATTCAGAGTATCCAAGATAGGTTGAATTTGAGTCAGTAGCATTTTATTGAATGCCTAATTTATTTTTTTAAAAAAGATTTATTTAATTATTTATGCATACAAGGACTGGGATCCAAACCAGAGGTGTGGGGGGGTGAGAAGATTCACCAGAGACAGAGTGGGGAGCAGAACAAGTAGATTGACCGAAATACACTGCTGAGGGGAGCAGTGGGAAGACAGGAGAGATCTGCTGTGCCATGTGGGTCAGCTCCCTGGCTGGGGATTGCTTCATAGCGCTGAAATTTAACCCCTTGCACCACCAGGAAAGCCCTGACTGCCTAATTTATACAGTACCTATCCAGAAATGACTGAGGGATGTTAACAGAATCATAACAAGGAGTGACTTTGACATTTCTAAAACTTCTATGACTCAGTTAATATTTGGTTATTCCTTTAGCTTTTTCACTTATTTTAATTTTTGACATCTGCACATCTTACTGCCACAGTAACTTTGTAAGTTCTTTTAGGAAAGAAGCACCAAATATTTTTCTTTGTATCTCTAGTTCTAGCTTAGAGACTGTCATACATGAGTATTAGCTTCATCTACTTACTCTGTCGTTTAGCACGCACCTGCTTTCCACTGAGTACTGCGTAGGCCCTGGGGCTACAGTGGAGTCAGCTCAAGTGCTGTCCCTTCCCCCAGGAACCAAGCCTGGTGGGAGAGACAGACATTCCGAGTGTTTGTGAGAGGAATCTACGTTTCTTTGGTCATTCCACCTTTTAACTTTTTATGACCTAATTTTCTTCATCTTTTTGATAATGGCAGGCTCTATGCTACAGTTTTACATACTTCTATTAATCAGCCAGATTCTCATCATCCCAGCCTATGAGAATTTTCTGCTAGATGGATTTTTGAACAGCCATTGAGATATAAAGGGTCAAATAGTAGTTAATGGAATACTATTTTGTAGGGAGAGGTAGAAGAGATTGAACAACACAACAAGGACCTTTGCAGAGAAAACCAGGAGCTGAAGGACAGCTGTGTCAGCCTCCAGAAGCAGAACTCAGACATGCAGGCAGAGCTCCAAAAGAAGCAGGTATGGCGGCTGGTTAATGGCGAACTGGGAGCGTGGGGATAAAGCTGTGGTGCCCTCATGCAGCCCCATTTTCTGTTTTGCTTATGATCTCCACTCCCTTATACTAATATCTTTGATAGTTTCATATGGCTTATTTGCAAATTTTATGACAAGCCTTTGTAGTAGGTGTGTCTATTATCTCAATTTTATATGAGTAACCTGAGAGTTGGCAGGGCTGAGTAAGCTTATACAGTGATGGAGCCAGGATTCACACCCAGACAGTCTGACTGTTCCTTCAGTACCTATTTATAATTTGAAGTACTTGCTTTGATTAACTTAAATGTGAACATCAAGAGAGGTGAGAGTATTAAAGTTAGGCACTATATCCAAACTCTTTGTGATGCCTTTTGTGAATGATCCGTAAATCAGCATGTAGTGACTAAGGAAGCTAAAAAGGAAAGTTTTTTTTTTTTAAGGACAATAAACTAATTACACAGAGACCATAACTTAGAACTTTCAAGATGCAGAACACACAGATTTTGACAATTACCATCTTGTTGTAAAGGTGAAAAAAGGAGAAAACTGAACCCTAGATAGTGAGCACAAGGGGTGAGCACCCACTTCTTTTGACTCCCAGACAGTACTCAGTTCTTTACACATTGCTGTCACGGAAGTGTCTGATATCTTCAGGCTTGGGCTGGTTCAGAGTGTGATGACATTCCAGACAGCAGACCTGGCCCACCCCAGGCAGTGAGGTAACGAGTGAAGTGGTGGCATAGATGTAACTCACAGTCGAGCTGTCAAGAGCCAACTTCAAACCAGGAGTTCTGACCAAGGAGTCAGAGTCTGGGTTTTGCGTTAATTATTCTATTTACGTACTGCCAATTAATATGATGATCACAAAAGTTAAAATTCTTTCAGCATCTACTGTGTGTCAGGTACTTTATTTGAACATATCACTTAATATCTATAGCTGCTTCACAGCTGGGAGAGCTTATAACTTGCTGAACATTATAGTCAGTTCATGACTTTGGAGCCAACTGGAATTTGAACTCAACTTTTTTTTTTTTTATGTTAAAACTCGTGATTTTTAGAGGCAGGATCATGAAAGGATTAGACCCCTTGTTTTTGAAATCACACAGACTGGTTCTCCTTATTTAATAAACCAGGAGAAACTTCTTAGCATCTCAGTTTTCCTCTCTGTAAAAGAACTGATGATACCTGTTTTCTCAGAGAGATATTTGTATATCCACATGCAGAACAGTGATTTTCACCATGGCCAAAGGTGGGAGGCAGCCCAGGTATCTGGTGATGGACGGATGGGTAGACACGGCATGGTGCGTACACGCAGTGGAGGATTGCTTGGCGTTAAGAGAGAAGTTGGCATATGCTGCAGCATAGAGAGACCTGGAGGATGTTACGCTGGATGAATTGGGTTAGACAGAGTCAAATGCTGTGTGATTCCCCTTTGATGAGGAACCTAAAATTGTCAACTTGACAGAAACAGAAAGTAGAATGGTGGTTGCCAGAAGCTGGGGAGAAGAGAGAATGGTGAGTTTGTGTTTAATAGGTGTCAGCTATTAAAGAGTCTATGGACAGATGTTGTGTTGGTTACAGACCACATAAATGTACATGATGCCTCTGAGTTGCACTAAAAATGGTAAAATTTATGCTACATATGTACATTTTTAAAAAGAAAAAAATGATTTTAAAAATGACCATAAACTTAGAATTGGAAAATCTTGGAGTTAAAAGCAGGGAGTTGTTATTGACACATAAGGTTGGGTTCTCCATAGAATGAAATTAGGGAAGGAAAAAAGTGTATTGGGCCATTATGGTGGCCACTAGCCACATGTGGCTGCTAAGCACTTGAAATGTGGAGTATTGAGATATGCCATAAACATAAAATATATAACAGATTTTGAAGACTTAGTATGAAAAAAATGTTTCCTTTATATTTACATGTCAAAAATTATATATTAGCAACATTGGGCTAAATATACTATTAGTAAAATTAATTTTATTTCTTTTTACTTCTAATATGGCTAATAAAATATTTTTTTTAATGTATTTATACATACAGAACTGGGGTGCAGACTAGAGGTGCAGGAGCAGTGAGAGGACTCACCAGAGACAGAGTGGGGAGCAGAACAGGCAGACTGAGGAAGTACACTGCTGAGGGGAGCAGTGGACGAGACAGGAGAGGTCTGTCGTGCCAGGCAGGTCAGCTCTGGGATTGAACTTGCACTGAAGCAGCTGTGGCTAGCTTGCAGTGCTGCACCTTAACCCACTGCGCCACCAGGAAGGGCCCTACTAAAATATTTTAATTAAGTGGCTTTTGTTAATTTAGTAGAGAGCACTTTCCTAGGAAAAAAACAACTTTGCTACTGTGTTTCCAGGATTAGAATGGTGTGTTGTGTGTAATAAATGCTCACTAAATATTTGATTAATAAACTAAAGGAAATAAGCACCAATGGAAGATAAATTAAAATGTAGGTATTTTTAATATAAAAAGAACATATTAATAATGAAGGATTTCATTCACTGCCTGTCATGCTATGCCTGACAGTGCTCAGTAAGTATTTGTAGGCTGTCTTAGATATTGAAAATTGTCTGCGCTATAGTCTGTCCCTTTAACCTTCAATCTGCAGGAGGAACTAGAAACCCTAAAGGGCATCAATAAGAAGTTAGAAGAGAAAGTTAAAGAGCAGAAGGACTCTTGGGAGACAGAGCTGCTTCGGTAAGTGGGATTCCTGGATGGGAGAAATTGCTCAGATATAGACATCCTCGTGGAGGCTCAGAGTAAACATCTGGAATTAGTTAGAAAACACTCTTCCTGTTAAGGCATTGATAGTTGGGATTATCCCCTTTTGACTCATGAGCACTTTTTCTAGGTTAGAATATGTCAGAATGGTAAGAAGAAATTACCTAAATTTATATTATTAACTCTGGAATATTTTCAGTTTGAGATTAGGAAGCCAAATGAAGAATAAAGGCTAGTAGATTTTAAAATAACTCTGCAAACTAGCTTTAAATCATTTAAGACCTAGAGCAGGGAATCTGGAATCAGCCGTTGTTTCACCTCCGCAGACTAAAAGAACAAAACCATAAGATGTCCTCCGAAAATGAGAAGATGGGAGTCCGAGTGGATCAGCTGCAGGTAGATACTGCCAGACCTCTGCACAGTTTTCTCTCTCAGCCTGGCCCACAAAGATACATTTCACTAGATGAATGCCTCATGGTGTACCTTTCAAAGCATCAGACAAAATTTCAACCTGTGTTTTCCATTCTTGACCCCCCACCACCATACACCCCCCTCCCATTTTTTGATAGTCATGATCCACATGGAATTGATTAGTTATATTTGTCAATTTATTTGCCCTGAGCTTTTAAAATAGATGGCTGTCAACTACACATTGGTGTTCAGACTTTTTTCTTTTAGATACAAAGTCTTATCAGGCAAAAATCTTATTGAATGTAAAAAGCAGATAGTAGCAGAACTGCTCTCTTTTTTCGGAAGCTATGCCTTAAAGAGAGGCCTAAAAGAACAGTTGTCAGACTCTACTTACTCACTGGATGACTAGAGTATAAGGTGGAGCTGGCAGGTGAAAACATTCTGAGAGATATTTGCAGTTGGAAACACACTTTTTTTAGGTGCTAGGAAACACATCTCTTTATGTCACTACTTTGAAAAGGAGGTGTTCTTGTTTAGTTTTCCTTCAGTTTTGTGTCATGGTAAATTTCACTCACTTTGCCTTAGGTCAAGCTGTCAACTCAAGAGAAAGAAATGGAGAAGCTTCTTCAGGGAGATCAAGAAAAGACAGAGCAGTTGAAATTTCTGAAAAAGGAAAATGATCAGCTCTTTATCAGCTTAGCTGAACAGGTAGGATCATGGATGAAAATGTTGAGGCATTTCTAAGAAATTTTTTTTTTTTATCTATCATATATATACTTGGATATCACTGACTGTGGGTAAGATCTCAGAGGAAGCCAACTGAAATGAGATAACTCATCAGAAACTAATAAGACTTGCTTTTCTTTCTACCTCCAATTTGCTGATAAGCTCAGCAGGCCCTTTTGTGTGTATGCGCGCGCGCGCGTGTGTGTGTGTGTGTGTGTGTGTTTTCCTGTCACTCGTACTGAAATCTGTTTTTGTGCAGAAGGAGCACCAGAAGAAGCTGGAGCAAACGGTGGAGGAGATGACTCTGAAAGAAACAACAGCAATGAAGAAGCATCAGGAGTTAACGGCATGTCTGTCTTTAGATGGCTTTGTGGGAAGAAGCCTAAAGAAAGGAGGGATAGGTCTATTTTCAGATGGTGGAAAACATAAATAAGACAGATTAGAATAGCATTTACCCCTAGATGTTTTGCTCTCTACCAAAAGGACAGAGAATCTGCCATTTATAAAATGTTTAGGAGAAAGGTGTGCATTTCTAATATGTGATAAGGGAATATCAGAGGTTCAACTTCATGAAAAGTATAAAGGGGTCTCGTGCCAGGACTCACAGTAGTGTCTATTCCCATTTCACAGAGTTGGGGACAGACAAATTAATGGTTATAAAGTTGAGCTCTACAATAGGAAGATATTCCAGAAGTCAAAACAAATTCTGTCATAATGTAGTGGTAGCAATTTTACCATTCTAAATTATTCTGAACTAGAATAATGCAGAAATGGAAGCCTCATTGACTGAGAATTTTCTGTAATATATTGGAAAAGAGGCCTTATAGTGATCAGGTACCTAGATGTCCCATTTTCTGAGTTGATGTAAGGACACGAGAAATCCGACTATCTGGAGGATAGCCAGCAAATAAGGCTGTGATGCATATCAGCAGCCATTGATCCGCTCATTCAGCTATTGAGTATCTACCACATACAAGACGCTGTATATTTTAGCATGGGTAACAATGACTAGAGCAAAGTCAAAATCAGCAGCTCATAGGTTAAGTTTAGCCCACAAAAATAGTGTTTTATTTGACCTAGATGGTGTTTTTAAAGTAATGAGTTCGTTGCCTACACCTAAAAATGGGATGTTTACCATAAAAATGATTGTATTTCTACTTTTACTTGAAAAATCCGAGGCTCCGGCAACATGGGGCCCACACGGCAGCCGCACCTGGCCCTCCACTCGACTGCAGTCTTCACTGTTTTGTTGCTTTCAGCTTCACGCAGTCACGTTTCTTGCGTGACCACTAGTGACACATTTGAGTTTGTCACCTCTGATGTAGCAAAGAAACTAGTGTTTTAAATAACCAAAGCCATTCAAAGGTTTGAGCTCTGGTGGCAAGTACAGGATTCTTTGGTTTTCGTAGAGTATTTTTCAACACCCAGGGCCCCCCAACTGTCTGATAGCTATTCTTTCTTACTCATGCATCCAAAGAATCCAAACTATGAGAACTATGTTATGTATCTTATACTTCAGGGGCCTGGGAACAAGAAAACATCAGTGGAGGAGCAGTTAGTACAAGAGGTGGACCGCCTAAAGGCAAAGGTAGAGGCCGGGAAAGCCTGTTTCTTAGAGAAGTACAAAGAGTGTCAACGACTCCACAAACAGATCAGGCAACTCAGGGCCACGGCACTGGTAGGTGGCAGAGATCGGGGCCCAGGAAGCAAGGGGTGTGAAGGTTTGTGGTTCTTACACAAGCCCAGAAGATGGGACATCCTTGTTAAGGAGGAAAAAATTATCTTTCTCTAAAAAGAGGAAGGGTGGAGTTTGAGGCCAGAAACCATCCTGGGAATCCCTGGAAAAGCAGGCCCCACTTCAGCCATGGGTTTCAGGGAAGGTCTTTGTAGCCAGTGAGCAGGTCCCTGTGCAGACTCAGCCCTTTCTTATTTCTGCCTTTTGAGGAAGTGAAACAGGACCAGAGGAGCCAGCAGGAGCCAATGGGGCTGGGGAGCCAGGAGCCTGCAGTCAGCACTGTCATCTGGTAGCCCCTCTTGCATTACTACCTCAGGGTCGGCTAGAAGCACACAGCAGCTTGGGGACCAGCATTCAAATAAAAAAAATCTTGTAAAAAAAAATACAACCAATAAGATTAGCTTAAGTGTCTTTGTGAGGTATGCGCATGTCTACACATATAGGCAGGGGACTGGAAGCAGTGAGGCATGCTAGGAGTCCTGGACCACGAACCTGTTCAGGTCAGCCCAGCATTGGGAACCCCACGCCCTAGTCTGGATTCCTTGTAACCTTGGGTCAGTGCTTCCCAGGGTTCCTTCCTTCTCCAGAAGCCTGTCCTTAAACTGGGAGGGTAGTCATCTCATGCTAACCCTAAGCATTTCAGGCCACATTGAGTGAAATGTTTACTCTTGACAAAGGATTATTTTCATGGCTGGGCAGGGTTAAACAAGCCTCCATTTATCCCTGCCTCTGATAAGTCAGTTTTGACGTTTTCTGTAAGTTCGCTTTATCGCCCTTTCTCCCAGCTAAATCAAAAGAAACTGGCATCTCCGTGCCAGCTCAGGCCTTCAGGCATTTGGTGAAGGCGTTCATCCATCAATCAGCACCCCTCAGCTGCTCCTCCCTACCCCAGATCCCTTCTCCCTCACCTCAGTCCCACTTCTTTGGAAAGCCAGGTCCTCTGCAGTCTCCTTGTTTACCCCATCTAAATTCAGTTACAATATGCGATCCTAATCCTAATTTTCTTTTACTGTACTGTTGACAGGACCAGAACTTTGACCTGTCAGAAAGACTGAATGAGAACAAGATTATATGTAATGTGCTACAGAAAGAGAAAGAAAGACTGGAAAGAGAAAATGATGTAAGTGTATAAAGGAGAGTACAAAACCCCATGGTTTTAAAGGAATACAGCTGGGTGACCAAAAGAATAGTGATAAATTAAAAAGTTAAATAAAGGGGCCCTTTCAGGACAGTTGGTGAGACAGCTACTCCTAAAACAGAATAAGCCTTACCTGGTTTCCTCCTCTACCACAAACCCTTCCCTGTTCTGTTACTGACCCGTTTGGCGTGGTGGTAGTCAACTGGAACTAGAGCAGCCTTGATGAAGATCTAACTAATTGTTTCTGCTTTTAACTTCACAGCTATTGTAAGTATTGTCATGGGGAGTAAGATTCTATGTCACTTTTATGCCGAGGGGGACCCCTTCCCTTCAGCACAACTTTTCCTTTTTTCTCAGCTGCCAAACCAGGAACAGAAGTGGTGGTCAGTACCATGGTAGGCCCCTACCAAATGCTGTGTGTCCATCCATTCATCAGGTCATTCTCTCATCTAACCAGTATTTTTCTACTGTGTGTTAAGCACAAGTTACTGATTAGTTCATTAAGGATGATAGCGGTAAATAAAGTGGTTACACTTGAAATCCCTCTCATGTTCTGCCTAGCATTAAAGAGTGATGTCCATGTGTTCTGCTACTCCACCAGGTCCACTCCAGCAGTTTTCCATCTCCATCCACTGTGTAACCCTCTGGTGGTCACTTCTACTTTTAATTATAATCGCTCATGCCAGTGTGTTCCACTGTTTCTGGCTCTGGCATGCTCATCCTCTTGATTTAGATATGTATACCTGACCTCTGAAATCCCTGTTTTCATGGGTTAGTTTGATAGAGCAAGGAGTGGGGAATGGTCACACACAATGTTCAGTAAGAGGGAAAAGATCTGATCTGTGGAAAGTGTCTTAGAATAGAACCCTCTTAAGTTGTTAAGAAGTTACTTTCTTTTTTCTGTGAACTTTAAATGCCATCTGCCCCCGTGTAGTTGTTCTCTCACTTGTTATTCTCTTCTTCCCTGTCTTCTGTACTCCCTCTTACTCTCTGTGTTGACATATTTTTTGGATGATATTTTGGATAAAGCAAAATTATATCAGAGGAATAGTCTTAGTATGTAAGACTAGTTCTAGGAAGGAGGCAGAAAGGAGGAGGAGTCTGCGCTCAACAATGGACATCAGTTTTGCTCTAACGGTGGCTCTTGCGCTCTTTCATATCCATACAGTTTGGGGAGGGGAGGTTATTTTTTAAAGATTTATTTTTACTTGTTTATGCATATAAAAAAAAAACTGGGGTGTAAGCCAGAGGTGTAGGGTGATGGGATGAGAGGATTCACCAGAGACAGTGGGGAGCAGAACAGGTGAACCCACCGAAATACACTGCTGAGGGAAGCAGCGGATGAGACTGGAGAGGTCTGCTGAGCCTGCCCTGTGGGTCAGCTCCCTGGCCAGGGATCAAGTACATGCTGACATGCTTGATAGCACTGAGACTTTAACCCTTGCATCACCAGAGGCCCTTTCCTTACAACTTTTGAACCGCCTTTCAGTTTGGTGTGTATTTAGAGATATAAACTTGTTATTTGCATTAATCTAAAAATTCAGTATAGGGCCTCCCTGGTGGCACAAGGAGGTCTCAACACCATGACATTGTTGGCAGCCACTACAGCATGAGATTGATCCCGATCGGGGAGCTGACCCACAAAGCACAGCAGACCTCTCCTGACTTGCCCGCTCAGCAGTATACTTCAGTCAGTCTGCCTGTTCTGCTCCCCACTCTGTCTCTGGTGAATCCTCTCACCCCCACTCCTCCCCTCCCTCCCTCCCCTCCCTCGGCACACTCCCTCTGGCCTATACCTCACCTATTATATGCATAAGCAAATAAATCTTTTTAAAAATTCAGTATGTCTTTTAAGTTCACATGTTAAAAAATCAGGTCCTAGGAATATTAAGGCTGCTGTTTTCCCTTGTTTGTTTATAAGAATGAGTTATCATTTTGGGGGGCTTCTTCAGTTTTTACTTGAACTACCTATTACGAGCATCCCCTCACCATTTCCTGTGGCCATTCTTTGTTGTTTTTTCAGCATGTCTCTGTAAATACTTTCTCCTTAGTTTTTGAAGAGGGAGAACACTAGATTGCTGAGTTACATGGGTCTGGATGCCGACTCTTTGCCATATCAAGTGCCTACTTTAGATGAAGGTGATCCAGGAGCAGACCCAGGACTTGTCTATGAAAACCCATATTCTGGTAAGACAACGTTGCCATTCAAGCTGAAAGGCCCCTGCCCGTATCCCTTTCTTTACCCCACTAAATTTTTTTTTTTTTTGTCTGAGATGCTAATTAAGACCAGTTTCATTGTTAAGACTTGCTGGGCAGAAGCTGAGTACCTAATAGAAAGATTGCCAGGCGAGGAGTGTTAATTGAGAAATAAATCTGAATCTAGAAGACGCAAATCAGATCATTCGCCTAGAGGCAGCAGACACAAATTGAGTCCCGTGGCTATATTCCAAATATATAAATCAGAGAAATGTCTCTCATAGAAGATATACACATACAGAGCTGAGGAAACTAATTAAGGTTTGGAAATGGAAGCACAAGAAGCAGCTATGCCATCCAGGAAGGGACAGTTAGGCAGCCACCGATGGCCTGCCCAAGGGTAGCAGGAGTGTGGGCCAGAGAAGCCTGCGGCTTGGGGAGGGGAGGGGGGAACTGGCCTTGTCATACAGATACTTGGGGTCAGCTTTCCCCTGCCCTACAGGGTACTTTTCCCCTTTTGTCTCCAAAAGCAGTATAAGATCTCACTTGCTTTTTTTGGACAATTTAAAGCAACCGTATTCTCTCAGGAGTCACAGATCTTTTAACAGGCAGGGGTACATTTTGTCTTTAAAAATCTTTTTAAGCATTTCATTTGAAAAATGGCTGCACCAGTTCAGACTGTTTCCTTGTTAAATTGGTGCTATGTTTATTAAAATTTCATTTCCCCCAAACTGAAAATAGGTTTTTTGTTGTTGTTTTGTTTCTGGTTTTTGGTTATATAAACTACACGGCCTTTGAAAATGCTGTTTCATTTTTGTTATTTTTTCGTCTTTTTCCTTTATCACTGACCTAGAATCCCCTCTGTAAGAAGTAATCCATATGAAAGGTAAAGAATCAATGGCAGTAAAGAAGAGGGTGGGAATAATGAGAGCTAGAACACATCTGCTAGAATATTGTCAGAGAGTCCAGAAATGGTGTTTTTTTGGCTGACATCTTTTTTTTTGCCCTCAGGTATCCAAGAAAGTTCTGCCCCCAGCCTGGTAAGTATTTGGTTCATGAGGTTACCCAAAAGATCTTTGAAAAACATTTTTCCTTCCTGTTCCATTTCATGGAATGGTTCATTTTGCTAACTCCCTAAGTCAAAGGGTCCGTTTGTTCAGTGCCCCAGGCAGAGTGAGCTGACTGAGTTGGGGAGAAGAAAGCACAGTTCATCTCTCAGCATTTCGTCCAAGACCTCCACCTGGACGTTAGATTCGGTAATAGGGCTTGGGAGGAGATTTGAGCCAGGCACCTAGCACAGCAGGGTATGTGCAGTGCCCTTTCCAGGCCGGAAGCTATTTGACAGTGTCGGCAATATTAGCCCTTCCAGTGGTGGGGCTCGAGAATGCCCGAGTGAGTGCCCCTGAAGTGGACTTACTCACAGCCTCTCTTAAGCACCAGCATTTGCCAAGCATTTATTCTAGGTGCCGAGGACATAATGGAAAATAAGACACATATGGTCTCTAGCACAGATAGCTTTCGTCTGTACTGACTCCTTTGCTCTCCCTCCCAGCACTCCAAGAAATGCCCCACCTGCAGATCAGAACCTGATGATATGTTTGAGCGAGGCTTCGCGCCGGAGGATGTGCAGGCCCCTTGTCTGACTTGTCCAGTTTGTGACCAGATCTTCCCAGCAAACGAGAAGCAGATCTTTGATGATCACGTGTTCTGCCACTCTATATAAGTGCCCCAGCCTCTTGGATATATACTATGCACAGATTTTCTAGAGTAGAACCTATAGCTTCTACTCTGAGCTATGACCTGAGATCCTGCCTATTCAAAAATTAGTAGGGATTTACTCCGTCTTGCTGTCCTAAAGGTGGAGCCGTGTTGATTAGCTAAAGGAGAATGTTATGGGTCGTTACTTTCATTCTTACGGGTTACTACCTTTTAAATCACATAACTAACTGTGTCAGCCTCTCACCTATAGTGCCCATTGTGCCATGCATCATCTGTCTAAGAGGGCCTTGGGATGGAATTAACCTAGCTATTCACAACAGGTCTGACTCAAGTATTAAGTGGTTCATTTTCCAAGTTGTCCCCCTCACTCATGGTCAGTCCTCCAGTATACTGCACTTACCGTGGGGCTGGAGACTGGCCAGAGGCTGAGAAGTTCCTCCTCTTTCTCCAACTGATTGCACTAGACTAGTAAAAGGTGGCACAACAGAGAATGCAGGCATCCAGTTTGGGTACTGCAGGATTCTTGATTTCTCAACTCCCAGTAGAAACATTTATTTCTGAACTGTGGACAGGAAGTATTTCAATCACAGAAAACCTTTATCTCTGAATACATCTGATTGGCATGTTCAACCATTTGATCTTTTCTATGCACATAATTCTGTTGGCCTTTCTTAATGGTTAGTAGGAATTGTTAGAAACTGGGGGTTTACGACTTTCTAAGCAGGTGAGCTTGGATATGAATGTCAGAATAATGAGAACTACTGTTAATCTTTCTACTACTAAAAAATAAACTATTCCTTATTTGAGAGGCCTTGGTAATTTAAAATAAGCCTTGCGCTTCTGGTCTTTTATTTTGGAGCCACTGGAGAAAGTACAGCCAAAGGACTATGGGAATTGTAGGCCTACCAGTGACTTCTCTTCACCCGTCCTAACTAGTGAAAAGAATTCTCTGGCAGTTGTCTTGAGGTAGGGAAGGAGCTAATTTCTTGCTCTTAACTTTCCACCCAGTTTTTGAAAGGGGACAGGTGGGGGCCTCTGGTGGAGCAAGGGGTTAAGTCTCAGCACTATGAAGCTATCTGTAGCCACTGTAGCACAAGTTCAGTCCCCAGCCAGGGGGGTGACCCACATGGCACAGCAGACCTCTCCTGTCTCGCCCGCTGCTCCCCTCAGCAGCCAGCCTGTCCTTAACTCTGTCTCTGGTGACTCTTCTCACCCCCACAGCTCTGGCCTGCCCAGTTGTTGTATGCATAAATAAATAAATAAAATCTTTTTAAAAGGTGAGGGGCAGTGTGGGTTTTGTCACCCTTTGTGAACTCAGTTCAATTCCCTCCATCCTGATTTGGCTAATTGAGCTGTAAGAAAACAATTTTCTCTCCCCTCTTCCAGGGACTGAACAAAAAGAAATGACTCCCAAGTAGTCAACCAGCTGGTCACTATAGAAATTTATACAAAAACTTTTATTTAAAGATTTATTTATTTATTTATGAATAGATCAATTGATATATAGGCCAGAGATTCAGGGAGTGAGAGGATTCACCAGAGACAGAGTGGGGGGGCAGAACAGGGAGACTGACTGAAATACACTGCTGAGGGGAGCAGCAGGCAACACAGGAGAGGCCTGCCATGCTAGGTGGGTCAGCTCCCTGGCTGGGGATCAAACTTAGGTCATTTTGGTGATAGAGCTCTGACTTCACTCCTACACTGCCAGGGAGGTTCCCCAAAACTTCTGAGTGATATGAAACATGATGTCGTAAATGAGGCTGAGCCAACTATAACTTTGCATTCCTTCAGGGATGTGCCTTCTTGCGGTTAGAGTTGTGCCCTGACTGTGTTGCGCGGGTCACAGCTCCGTGCCTTCATTTCTTCTTTGAGAAAATGAAGGTGAAACGCTGCTCCTCCTGTACACCATTTCATTAAGATGTCCCTTGGACTCAAGCCTCCTGCCCCGTAAGAATCAGATGTGACATGAAGACTAACTCAACAATAGAAATATAACGAGAAGTCGGTAATGCAGCTTTTCTGGCAAATACCCTTCCTCCCTGCAAAATTTCTGTTGCTCCCCAGATAGTTCCAGTGAGGAATTACTGTTTCATTTATTTTGCACTAGTCAGCTCTTAATTAAGCACATGAATGGAGAGGAGCAGTGGTGCACATAATCCATATGAGTGAATGCCATTTTCTGGTGAATTACCCACCCCTTTGCCCCTACTACCCTGAGGGTGACCATGATTAGCAAAGGCAGCGGGAGCTCTTCCACAGGCTTGGTTGGGAAAAAGAAAAAAAACAAAACAAAACAGTTGAGGTGTTAATGATCCTTTTTGCTAGATATAAAACAAAGCTTCTTTAACCACTGTTCATTATCTCCAGCTGCTCTTACCAAGGCTTTGAAGAGGAAATTATGCTCCAGGCAGCTACTACTGGTAAAGGAAATAATCATTCTTATACAATCCTCTCCTCACCCCAACCTTTCCCCTCACTACCTCAATACCACCACACATTTTTTTAAAATAATGTAATAGTTTGTTTTTACATCATTTTGTGCCTTTTTTCCATCTCAGTTGTAATCCCGGGATTCCCATCACCAAATCACCCGTGTGCCAATCACCATAGCCACCACACATTTTATAGTTGTAAAATAGCTATAAAAAGTAGTAAGAAGTAAGAGGGCAAATAGTATTTGTATATAAATTTGGTTTTTATTTTAAAGATTTATTTATTTGTGCATACAAAACTGAGGTACAGGCCAGAGGTGCAGGGACAGTGAGAGGATTCACCAGAGACAGAGTGGGGAGTAGAACAGGCAGATCATCGAAGTACACTGCTAAGGGGAGCAGCGGGTAGGTCAGAAGAGGTCTGCCGCGCCATGTGGATCACCTCTGGTGCTGGGGTTGAACTTAACATTGAAGGGCTGCTGGTCTCTGGCAGTGCTGAGCTTTAACCCATTATACCACCGGGGAGGGCCTGTATGTAAATTTGTACTTACTGCAGCAAGTTTCCCTTTCTAATTCATTCTCTTGGTATACTATTAATGTGTTTTTGCACTACTTAGGATATTTACTGGATGACAGTAGGGAAAATTCATGCTGGCACATGAGAGTATGAAGAAAGAGAGTTGAAGGAAAGTTAACCTCTCATCAGAAGTGCATGAATTTGCAAGATATCAATAAACTCAAGGGCTTTAAAAGTACCTGTGGATTTAGCCCTTTTTCTTGGTCTTGCTAAAATTGGGGTGAATGAAAACTGCTTTGATATTTAAACATCGTTCTGTGATTTTTTTTTCTATAATGGCAGTGGATTGCACTAAGCTAAGTTGCTCTAACCTGGTCTCCTAGCAACCAGTGTTGATGAGATGTGGTCCATTACCTAGGAAAAAAGCTAAGTGGACTCTACATAGAGATCAAACCGAAAGAGATGCTCACCTAATCGCCCTGAGTTAACCAAGAGTCAGCTTCAGGTTCAAGGAATTTACACTGGCTCCCTGCTCTCCTTAATGGATGTTATATAAATATTAAGTAATAGCTTTACATGCATGGAGAGCTTATAGTTTAGGACTTTATCTCATATATTCTATGTGCATTTTCAATAATTTTTGAAACAGAACTGTCAACGCTCATTTATAGATGAATACATTGAAACATGGAGAAATTACTGTCTAAAAGTGAAAACAACCCAAATGTCCATCAGTTGGTGAATGGTAAATAAACAAGATGTGGGGTAACCATGTGCTATACCCCCCAATACAATGGGGTATTATTTGGCAGTAAAAGAAATGAAGTACTGCTATTACATGAAAATCTTGACAAAAGGAAACATAAGTATGATTTCACTTATGTAAAATGCCCCCAGTAGGCAAACCTAGAGCCACAAAATAAATTAGTATTTCCTTAGGGCTAGAAGTTGAGGGACATGAAGAATAACTAGGCAGAGGAAGATACCAGAAAAGAAGAAATAGGTGTGAGCTGAGCTGAACAGACAACCAATCGTTGCAATAGTATATAACAAGTGCTGGAGATGGGAGGAGGATATTAAAAGATGAACGGCTCTTTGGCTACAGCAAAGAAGCACAGGATCAAATACCCCTCTATAGTAAGGGGGAACAAACAGGATACGTGTAGCAACTTGACTGAGATACACAGGGAACTATGCTAATATGAGGCTTTTTTTTTTTTTTTAAAGATTTATTTATTTGTGCATACAGAATTGGGGTGCAGGCCAGAGGCTCAGAGGCGGTGAGAGGCCTCACCAGAGACAGAGCGGGGAACAGAACAGGCAGATGGATGAAGTACACTGCTGAGGGGAGCATCGGGCGGGTCAGGAGAGGTCTGCCACGCCATGTGGTCACCGCCGGGGCAGGCGGGAATAGAACTCATGCAGAAGTGGTTTCAGCTTCTTACTGCAGTGCTTTAACCCGCTGCGCCGCCAGGGAGGGCCTAATATGAGGCTTTTTAAAAGATTATTTCTGCATACAGAACTGGGGTACAAGCCAGAGATGCAGGTGCATGAGAGGATTCACCAGAGACAGAGTGGGGAGCAGAACAGGCCGACTGACTGCTGAGGGAAGCAGTGGACAGGTCAGGAGCAGTCTGCTGCACCATGTGGGTCACTCCCGGGCGGGGATTGAACTCGTGCTGAAGCGGCTGAGGCTAGCTCCGTAGTGCTACTCTTTAACCCATTGTGCCACCAGGGAGGGCCCCAATAGAGATGAGAGAAGTTTTAATATGCGCCATAGTCAAATTTGTGTCCTAGAGCAATCCCTGTGGTTCTAGGTTGCAGAAGCACAGTGGAGAATGAATCGGGTAGTGGGGAGAGCAAGCAGGGAAGACAGGAATAAGAGACCAGCCAGGTAGCACAGGGGAGAGCAGTGAGGGCCTGGGCCAGATGTGGAGATGTGCAAGGGAGCGTCAAGCTGCACCATGTGGGAGAGTCAAATCCACAGGAATTTTTGTAATTAACTAAATGCCAAGGAATGAAAGTATATTTGCTTCCTTGGTCTGCTACAACAAATCACAAACTGAGTGCCTTTCAGCAACAGAAAGTTCTCTAGATCCTGGAGCCTCTTAGAAGTTCAAAACCAAGATGCTGGCAAGGCCACACTCCCTCCAAAGACCAGTCTATTCTTGCAGCGGCTGACGTTCCTTTGCTGGTGGTGTCAGCCCACTCTCCGCCTCCACAGTTGCAATGCCTCTTCTCAGTATGCATCCCCTGTGTGTCTTAAGGACACTTGTAATTGGGTTCAGGAGCCACCTGTATATTGCCAGCTAAGTTGCTGTCAGGCTCCTGAATCATACTTTTTGTCATACAAAGCCCCACTGGTCAGCCAGATAAAGACTCACAGCTTCTGGAAATGACGACATGGACATCTCTTCTTGGGGAACCAACATTAAACCCTCCACAGAGAGAGAAGAAAAGATTATTAGTAGGATTCTGGCCAGACTTGAGGTAAACAGGAAAGAAGGAAGAGGAGTTCTCAGAGAATTTGTCCTTCTTAAGCATGTTGAGTTGGAGGAATTTGTAGGGCGAGTCAGTAAGTACCTGGGTCTCTGGTTCGCCAAGTGGGACCCACATGTCATCACTGACACAGTGGGCCGCGTCTCCCACATCACTGATGTCTGGGAGCAAAGGAGCTGCTGGAAGAGAGAGATAGAGGGGGAATTGAGTACCCCGAATAACACCAACTTTAGGGTTAGGAAATCACCTGCAGCTATTCAAGGGAAGAGAAGTGGCAGCCTGAGGCCAAAGGAGAAATCAGGTTCAGAAAATGAGTCCTGGAGTGTCAACTGCTGTAGGGTGGCGGAGGAGGGAGACC